TGCTTGCACAAGATTAGCCTGGAGTTTCCACGTTTTTAAACAACATCGAAAGACGTGAAATTATAGCGAAATAAAACAGGAATTCATACGAAATTTTGAGGAAACTATCCGCGGGTCACTTCGCCTAAGGAAACCTCATCTTTTTTGAAATATTAGCAAACGATTATTCGCGGTTGTGCGGGTAACCCATTGATCGACGCCGGTCTAGTCCAGCATGGATTAGGTGCATGGAGAAGATATACCAAGGCCTGGGTTAGTAGTCGACTTCGCGGACAGTGCTAATTGTTTAACATTAAGTTGGTCACTAATCTCTCATCTCTGAAAGCAAGGAATTAAGTAGCCTGCGAATAACAGAATCTATTTATACGCTTATTCCACGCAGTGGGGGGAAACCCAATAAATAGATCTATTTATCGCGTTTCCCTCCCCCAGCGTGGAATAAGCGTATGAATATATTCCGTTATTCCCAGGCTAGGAATTAAGGGAAAACCCTCCCACAGCTTAGCTATATCTAGGAATTAAGACTTGTTGGTTTGAAATCATCTTGAATAGAAGTTGGTGGCGTTGAATGGTTTCGGAATTGGTATTACAACATATCGTTTAGGTTGCTTTGGAAAAATCCATGTAGAAGTATTAACATATAGATAACATTGAACCGTTGTCTTTAGCTATTTTATCATTACAACTGTGTGAAAATTTAAACTGTATAACTCAGCCATTCAATGGGCTGCATTTTAGCCTTTGACAGTTTTGTCAAAGTTGGGTTATCTTCAAGACTTCATTTTGAATGTTTCAGGTGGATGTCTCAGAGGCTAGCTACCTCTTTCATGGTATGTAGCGTGTGCACATGCATGACATCATGGGAGTCCTATATGGGAGAATATAAACCCCAGGAAAACGATTTAACGGCCATTTAAGAACGAGTCTTTGGGATGGGAGATTGACAACAAGGAATTACATCCAATAGGAGTGCTTCCCCCAAACCCCTTCTCCCACAAAAAAAAATTACGCATGTGTATACGTATTGTTTTGCGCAGAAATCCCGCATGTTAGTAATCCTTCGATCATTAGGGCGTCTATAAGCTACAGACTCCCAAATCAACAAAAAATTTTGGTCACATGGGAATAAATTTTAATGTTAAAAATGACTTACCACAACTCTGGTTATAAGATATATTGGATTTTATCTCAGGACTTTGAACAGTTGGTTTGCCTAGAACAGCAGCAAAATACTGATATGCATGCTAGCAAATAAATTATTCTTATTCTTATTATAAACACTCAACAGCAAATAAATTATTCAAGTGCAAACTGCATAATAAGTATCAACGTCTCTTATTTGGCAGTTTATGAACAGTCGTATAGCGCCGAGCATTAAATATAATGCGGTTAGGGAGAATGTTGTCTCTAAAGCAAAGTTCTCAAACGGATAGTTTTTACGGTTTATAAATCAACGAGGATACGCTCTATTATACTAAAATGAATAATCTACCTTTCCTGAGATCACTCTGAAAATTTCAATGACATTCATAATAAAATAGCAAAAATGAAAGGTTTGACTTTAGAAACTTCACAGTTTCCCCCGAGAAACGTGTACATATCACGCGTGAAAAAAAATCGAGTTCGTAGTAATCTTGTGCATTCAGTTTCGATAAAAACTTGTTCGGTTTTGAGTTGATAAAAAAAGCGAGAAAAGTAGTTAAATAAAACTAAATAGTTACATAAGTTATTGCATGTTAGGAAGTGCTTTCCGCTTTATTTTAACTTCGACTTGAGATTAACTGGCGCGAATAACTTTTTTTACCGGACATCGTTTTCCGTTAACGTAAACGGTAAAGTCTGCGTAATTGAATATTATAACTACGTCTGGAGGGGGCTTTGCAAAAAAGGTAAACTTTAAGAAAATTGTTTTCAAAATCAACTCCAAACAGCATTTTTCGATTAGGTAAAAAGAAATATTCCTCGTACAATCTTTTTTTGAAACTGAATGTTATATCCCCGATGATGTAGCAAAATGTCCTTTGATTAAGCCATGCAACAAATTATGTAGTACACAATATTTACGTTGTTTTGGCAACAATTGCTGAACGTGATTACTGATTATTGGTCTCATATAATGCATGGTCAAACGTTTAAACTGTATAAGCTCGCATTCAAATATTCATTGCGAGCAAATCCACAAAAAGTAGTTTTTGGACGTTATCTTCTTTGTCCCGCTTGTGTTTACATTTCGAGTTGGTTGTATTCATCATGACAACTGCGTAAAAATTTAAATTGCATCACTCAAAATTTAAAATTTAATAGCGTTCTAATCAAAAGAGTCTTTAAAACAAAATCTCTTGATGTCTTAATTAATGAGAACCTAACCTGGAGTTACCATATCGACAAAACAACTAAAAAAGTAGCATCTGGTATCGCCGTTATTAAGCGTTTGAGGTCTGTTGTTTCATCAAAAACATTATAATTTATCTATCAAGCTCTAATACAACCTCACTTTGACTATTGTAACGTCGTATAGGGGACGTCTGGAAAGACCTTAGTCAATCAACTCCAGAAACTACAAAACCGAGCAGCTCGAGTATTAACCTTTTCAAACTTTGACGCCGATGCAGGACATATTTATAATTATTATAATTATAATTATTATATATATAATGGAAATTTTAGGATGGGACAATCTAAATACGCAACGCTAAATTCAGAAAGCGTTGATGGTTTATAAGTCTACACACGGTCTCACTCCTGAATGTCTACATTCCAAATTTATAAATCATAACGATGTAACTAAATATTCACTCAGAGACTCTGTGAACAAACTTGCTGTTCCATTACCCCGCACCAATTATCTGAAAAACTGCTTTAGTTATAGTGGTGCGGTCTTGTGGAACAGCCTACCTACTAATATCAGACAAGCAGAATGTAAATGAATTAAAAATTGTTGAAACGTTATATTCGATAAACACGGCATTCGTGGAAAACATGTTCATTTGTATTTGTATTATATATTTTAGTGTGTATATAACTATAGTTTATATGCATGTAGCTACAATTTGTAACCCTGATGAATTCACCGTGGATAATTAAAGTTCAGTTCAGTTCAGTCAGCCATTCAATGGGATGTAATTTAGCCTTTGACAGTCTTGTCAAAGATGGGTTATCTTCAACACTTTATTTTGAATTTTTCTTGACACTATAGCTACGGCAATAAAAAATAATTTCATTCATTTCACTTGTCTCAAGTGCTGTATGTGAACAAATATTTAAACTCTGACATTGGCAGCTGCTCATAAATAAATACTACTATTCCTTTTTAGCAAAAAACGTGTTATTGCAAAGATGTGTGTTAATTTATATATTATTTAACAAAAGCACGTCAAAACACATAAATTATATTGATAAAAATATTACTTGTTTTATTTTATGACTAGCAATACATGAAATACAGCACCCCTCGCTATTTTCAACTATAAAAATAATCTCCTGGGCCTAGATTAGCTATAACTATAAGTTTATATTATGGAATGACTCAATGGCAAAGCGTCGATAGCAATTATTTTCATCATTTCGTACAAAATATAGTCACAACATTGGAGGTGATATCACTCGTTTTCTGCAGGCGTTTAAAGACCCTACCAGCTTAGGTAACTGTTAAAATTTCAACAAAATCTTCAAGTACAGACATAGGCAGCCCAGACTTTGACTGCGCGTGTGATACTTGCGCGTATGCTTAAAACATTACAGTTATAGTTTCGTAAATGTAGAAATTAATTATCCGCGAAATTACCGGTAGAAATGCCACAAAATCTACAGCCTAATAATCACAGATGCTTGCACAACATTAGCCTGAAGTTTCCACGTTTTTAAACAACATCGAAAGACATTAAATTAGCGAAATAAAATAGGAATTTATACGAAATTTTGAGGGAACTATCCGTGGGTCACTTCACCTGAGGAAACCTCATCTTTTTTATAATATTAGCAAACGATTATTGGCGGTCGTGCGGGTAAACCATTGATCGACGCCGGTTTAGTCTAGCATGGATTAGGTGCATGGAGAAGATATACCAAGGCCTGGGTTAGTAGTCAACTTCATGCACAAAGCTAATTGTTTAACATCAAGTTGGTCACTAATCTCCCATCCCTGAAAGCAAGGAATTAAGTAGCGAGCGAATAACAGAATCTATTTATACGCTTATTCCACAATGGGGGGGAACGCAATAAATAGATCTATTTATCGCATTTCCCCCCTATACCCCACCGTGGAATAAGCGTATAAATATATTTCGTTATTCGCAGGCTAGGAATTAAGGGAAAACCCTCCCACAGCTTAGCTATATCTGTGAAGTAAGACTTGTTGGTTTGAAATGATCTTCAATAGAAGTTAGTGGCGTTGAATGGTTTCGGAATTGGTATTACAACTTATCGTTTAGGTTGCTTTGGAAAAATTCATGTACAAGTATGCACAAATAGATAACATTGAACCGTTATCTTTAGCTATTTTCATCATTACAACTAGGTGAAAATTTAAATTGTGTAACTCAGCCATTCAATGGGATGCATTTTAGCCTTTGACAGTTTTTGTCAAAGTTGGGTTATCTTGATCAACACTTTATTTTGAATGTTTCAGGTTGATGTCTTAGAGGCTAGCTACCTCTTTCATGGTATATAAAGCGTGTGCACATGACATCATGGGAGTCCTAATTGGGAGAATATAAACCACAGGACAACGATTTAACGGCCATTTAAGAATGTGTCTTTGGGATGAGAGATTGACCACAAGGAATTACATCCTGTAGGAGTGCTTCCCCCAAACCCCTTCTCCCACAAAAAAACGCGCGTTTGTATGTGTATTGTTTTGCGCTGAAAACCTGCTTGCTAGTAATCCTTCGTTCATTAAGGGCATCTATAACCTACAAACTCCCAAATCAACAAAAAAACTTTGGTCACATTTTGCGAAACAAAGTGAGTGGAAATAAATTTGAATGTGTAAAATGACTTACCACAACTCTGGTTATAAGATTATTGGAAATTATTTCAGGACTTTGAACAGTTGGTTTGCCTAGAACAGCAGGAAAATACTGATATGCATGCTAGCAAATTTATTATTCTTGTATTATTATAAACACTCAACAGCAAATAAATTATTCAAGTGCAAGCTGAATAATAAGCATCAACGTCTCTTATTTGACAGTTTGTGAACAGTCGTATAACGCCGAGCATTAAATATAATGCGGTTAGGGAGAATGTTGTCTCTAAAGCAAAGTTCTGAAAAGGATAGTTTTTACGGTTTATAAATCAACGAGGATACGCTCTATTATACTAAAATGCATAATCGACCTTTCCATAGATCACTCTGAAAAATGACATTCATCATAAAATAGCAACAATGAAAGGTTTGACTTTAGAAACTTCATAGTTTCCCGCGAGAAACGTGTACATATCACGCGTGGAAAAAAATGGAGTTCGTAGTAAACTTGCATTCAGTTTTCGATAATAACTTGTTCGGTTTTGAGTTAATTAAAAAAGCGAAAAAAGTAGTTAAATAAAGCTAAATAGTTATATAAGTTATTGCATGTTAGGAAGTGCTTTCCGCTTAATTCTAACTTCGACTTGAGATTAACTGGCGTGAATAACTTTTTTTACCGGACATCGTTTTCCGTTAACGTAAACGGTAAAGTCTGCGTAATTGAATATTATAAGTACGTCTGGAGGGGGCTTTGCTAAAAAGGTAAACTTTAAGAAAATTGTTCTCAAAATCAACTCCAAACAGCATTTTTCGATTAGGTAAAAAGAAATATTCCTCGTACAATCTTTTTTGAGACTGAATGTTATATCCCCGATGATGTAGCAAAATGTCCTTTGATTAAGCCATGCAGCAACAAATTATGTAGTACACAATATTTACGTTGTTATGCATGGCAACAATTGCTGAACGTGATGACTGATTATTGGTCTCATATATATGGTCAAACGTTTAAACTGTATAAGCTCGCATTCAAATATTCATTGCGAGCAAATCCACAAAAAGTGGTTTTAGAACGTTATCTCTATTCTTTTCTATCTCCTCGCACAAAATAAATAAAATATTAATTGTTTGGTTCTTTGTCCCGCTTGCGTTTACATTTCGAGTGAGTTGTATTCATCATGACAACTGCGTGAAAATTTAAATTGTATCAGTCAAAATTTAAAATTTAATAGTGTTCCAATCAAAACAGTCTTTAAACAAAATCTCTTGATGTCTTAATTAATGAGAACCTAACCTTGAGTTACCATATCGACAAAATAACTAAAAAAGTAGCTTCTGGTATCGGCATTATTAAGCGTTTGAGGTCTGTGGTTTCATCAGAAACATTATAATTTATCTATCAAGCTCTAATACATCCTCACTTTGACTATTGTGACGTCGTATGGGGGAACTGTGGAAAGACCTTAGCCAATGAACTCCAGAAACTACAAAACCGAGCAGCTTGAGTATTAACCTTTTCAAACTTTGACGCGGATGCAGGACATATAATGGAAATTTTAGGATGGGACAATCTAAATACGCAACGCCAAATTCAGAAAGCGTTGATGGTTTATAAATCTACACACGGTCTTACTCCTGAATATTTACATTCCAAATTTATAAACCGTAACGATATAATTAAATATTCATTCAGACTGAGGCTCTGTGAACAAGCTTGCTGTTCCAATACCCCGCACCATTTATCTTATTAACAACTTTAGTTATAGTGGCGCGGTCTTGTGGAACAACCTACCTACTAATATCAGACAAGCAGAATCCCTAAATGAATTTGAAAAACGTTATATTCGATAAAAACGGCATTCATGGAAAACAGGTTCATTTGTATTTGTATTATATATTTTAGTGTGTATATAATTATAGTTTAATTGCATGTAGCTACAATTTGTAACCCTGATGAATCCACCGTGGATAAATAAAGTTCAGTTCAGTTCAGTCAGCCATTCAATGGGATGCATTTTAACCTTTGACAGTTATGTCAAAGATTGGGTTATCTTGAACATTTTATTTTGAATTTTTCTTGACAATATACGGCAATAAAAATAATTTCATTCATTTCACTTGTCTCAAGTTCTGTATGTGAACAAATATTTAAACTCTGACACTGGCAGCTGCTCATAAATAAATATTACTGTAATGCAAAAATGCATGCATGTGTTTTAATTTATATATTATTTAACAAAGCACCTCAAAACACCTAAATTATATTGATAAAAATAATACTTGTTTTATTTTATGACTAGCAATACATGAAATGCAGCACCCCTCGCCATTTAAACCAAGAAAATAATATCCTGGGCCTAGATTAGCTATAACTATAAGTTTATATATTATGGAATGACTCAATGGCAAAGGGTCGATAGCATGCAAATATTTTCATCATTTGGTACAAAACATAGTCACAACATTGAAGATATCAATCGTTTGCTACCGGGATTTATAGACCCTACCAGCTTAGGTAATTGTCAAAATTTCAACAAAATCTTCAAGTACAGACATAGGCAGCCCAGACTTTGACTGCGCGTGTGATACTCTTGCGCTTGTTAAGGAAACCTCATATTTTTTAAAATATTAGCAAACGATTATTGGCGGTCGTGCGGGTAACCCATTGATCGACGCTGGTCTAGTCCAGCATGGATTAGGTGCATGGAGAAGATATACCAAGGCCTGGGTTAAGGCCCTGTTACATGGTGCAATTTTTTTGCAACTTCCAATTCAATTCTACTTCTAATATAAAAAATTATGTAAATTAATGAGGAGTCTTGCAGAGGAAAAGTGCATGAAGTGTAATAACCACAAAAGTTTCGTTGTTCCCAAATATACATCTCTGAAAATTAGAATTGATTGCAAGGTGCAAGAAAAATTGCACCGTGTAACAGGCCTTTTGTAGTCGACTTCTCTGTCACAGCTAATTGTTTAACATCAAGTTGGTCACTAATCTCTCATTTCTGAAAGCAAGGAATTAAGGGAAAACCCTCCCACAGGTTAGCTATATCTGCGAAGTAAGGCTTGTTGGTTTAATATCATCTTCAATGGAAGCGGTGGCGTTGCATGGTTTCGGAATTGGTATTACAACATATTGTTTAATTTGGTTGAGTTTGGAAAAATTCATATAGAAGTTTGAAAAATAGATAACATTGAACCGTTGTCTGTTCAGTTATTGGTACACGGTAAGACGTCATTTGTGATAAGAACAAAACAAAGTGGTGGCCACGAGCCGCCGGGGCGAGTATTTTTATGTCCCAGAAGATTTTCCATGACGGTAGAGAGCCACTTGACGTTTCTTAAGGCAGCGCTTAAGTTATGGCGTCATCAGACGAGCGGACTGTGGTTGATCTCAAGGGGAGAAAGCGATCTGTCATAAAGAATAGGATTTCTTTAAATTTCTTGAACTACATCTCGCTGTCAAAGATGTATAGGCTACCATATATTTCGATGCTCCCTTCGGTCAAATGTACACCATATTCCGGTTTATTATATGCATGGGGTATTTCCCTGAGAACTAAAACACTCGTAGAACTCATACGCCACTACATCTGGGGTACAGTGCGGATATTTTTCGCATGTCATGCACGTTGGGGGTGTCGAGAATCGTCATCGAACATTTTGCATTTCATTATCCAGTTACATTATGCAGTTCAGTGTTACCATAGTGATATCGAAGAACTTTAGAATCGAACACGAACGAACACGCT